GTCTCTCTCTCTCTCTCTGTCTCTCTCTCTCTCTCTCTGTCTCTGTCTCTCTCTCTGTCTCTCTCTCTCTCTCTGTGTCTGTCTCTTTTGCTTGCTCTCCCTCCCTCCCTCCCTCCCTCCCCCCCTCTCCCCCTCCCTGCCTCTCTGCCCTCTCTTTCTTGCCCCCCCCCACACACTCTCTCTTCTCTTTCCTTCTGTACCCGTCTGTCCTTCTCTGTTACAGTTGCATTCTCACACCGCCAACCCACTTCGCCTGCCCCTCCCTTGCGCCAACAGCCATCCGCATGTTCAACGAGCAGCCCCTTGACGGCCGCAACCTGCTTGTCCGCGTCGATGCCGAGGCCGACAAGTACCGCAGGTGCGTACAAGCTCATACATGTGTGCACACTTCACGTGACACAAACGTCACACGCTATCACACGCACACACTGCCACGTTCACCTGTGTACGCGTGGATGCACGTGGATGCGCACGCTACCACACGCACACACACCCACACACTGCCACGTTCACCTGTGTGCATGTGGAAGCGCGTGTGCACACACAACACATCCTTACACACAAGTCCTCACCCCCTCACACATTCACGCTCTGACCGACCCTCACTGACAGGGGCGTGAGCGTGCACGTTGGCAACCTCCCGTGGGAGGTGACGTGGAGGGAGCTCAAGGACCTGATGCGCCCTGCCGGCGAGGTGATCCACGCCGAGGTGATGCACGACAACAACGGCCTGTCCCGCGGCTGGGGCATTGTGCGCTTTGTGTCTGCGGACGGCGCCAACGCGGCGATTGAGCAGTTCAACGAGTTTGAGTGGCTGGGCCGCAGCATCACGGTGCGCCTGGACCGCCGCGAGGCCGAGCGCAAGAAGAAGGAGGCGACGGCTGGCGACGCTGGCGAGGGCGAGGACGCCGGCGACGATGCTGGTGACGACGCGACCAACGCCGATGACGACGACGAGGCCGATGCCGAGGAGGCCGAGTAACCATCTTCACCCACCTGCCGTAGCAGCCATCATGCACCAAGCCTGCGGTTGTGCATGTGCGTTGAATTTGTTGTTGTTGTTGTTGTCTGGCGTGTTTGTTGGGGAAGGAATAGACGCACCCCCGAAAGCAGTTGCTTGCTTGCGCTTGTGTGCCTCCTTCCCCTTGTCCTCATTGTGGAGTTGTTGTTCTCTCTCTCTCTCTCTCTCTCTCTCTCTCTCTCTCTTCTGCTCTTCCATCTTTGACTTTGCCCGTAAACTTTTTTTCTTCTCAGCAATGATTGATGAGATGGTGACCATTGGACATGCTGTCAATGTGAGCCGGCTGGAGCTTCCGTTGCGTTGCCGGCGGTGTTTGCGGACCTGAGTTGTTCACACACACACACACACACACACACACACACGCACGCACAAGTCGCTGATGTATGAAACGTGTTCATAGTCATTTTGGTCACTGCTTCTGAATCACGTCGGCAGGTGTAGGCTTTACTGGGTCAAGCACACAACGTCTTGGCGTGCGTGATGAGCCAGGGTCTGTACCGCAACCTTCCAAGACAGAAGAAAGAGAGGGAGAAAGGAGATAGCATTGGATGCAAAGGGCGAGCAGAGCGGGATGCAGCACACAAAGCAAACAACAGGCAAAAAGAGAAGAGTGCAAGGGAGAGCATAGAGGCGGGTGTCTAATGTGAACAAAAGGAGAGTCAAAGCACCCCAAAGGGGGTAAAGAGCAAGAGAGGAGCTGCAATGGACCGAAGTGCGACAAGGGGCTGCTTAAGCGGTGGCCTCCTTGAGGTACGCAATGAGGTCTGGATGAAATGTGTGATGGCGGGTGGCGGAGAGAGGGGGGGGGGGAGAGAGACAAAAAAAAACGACGAGTGAGTCGGTCATGGGGCAAGTGAATGTCGGGAGTTGGATCCATACAGCGCAGAACAGGCAGACCCGGTCATCCTCATATAATGCGCAAAGCAGGATACGGTAGACAAGACAAGACACACCTGCTAACATAAACCTGCTAACAGACAGACAGGCAGACACACACACACACACACACACACAGAAGCGAACGTACTCTTGCGGTCACCCTTCTTCTTGAGGCCGGCGAAGACCATCTTGGTGCCGGGAATGTACTTCTTGGGGTTGGCGAGGTACTCGAAGAGAGTGTCCTCACCCCAGACAACACCCTTGTTGATGTTGGCCTCGGTGTAGGCGTAGCCGGCGGCCTGGCCGGTCTTGCGGCCAAAGAGACCGTGCAGGTTGGGGCCGGTCTTGTGGGGACCACCCTACAATCACAAGGAGACGGAAAGAGAGTGGGAGACGAGGGTGGCGTGGAAGAGTGTCGTGTGGAAGAGTGCCGCGTGTGAGGTGGCACAGAGACAGGTTCTGCAGCACACACACACACACACACACACAAAAGCAAAACCAGGGGCGTGCACGCAAACATGTGTATTTCCAGATGTGCACGCACACATGTGTACTTGCAGACGTGCACGCACACATGTGTACCTACAGACGTGCACGCACACATGTGTACTTGCAGACGTACACACACACACACACACAGACACACACCGACACACACAGACACACACACACACACCTTCTCGACGGTGTGGCACTGAGCGCAGCGCTGAGTGAAGATCTTCTTGCCCTTCTCGACGTCACCCATGATGATGGTAAGGAGTGTGAAGAAAAAAGTGCTTGGTTAACGAAACCTGTGGCAAGCAACGTGAAAAGCAGAAGCGTGCGTGTGAGCATTGGCGAGCACCACAACGACAAAAGCAACGCGCGGTGCTGTACTTGTGTTGTATTTGTACTGTATTGGTGTGTCTCTCTCTTTCCCTCGTCAAACACAACACTTGGAACAAGCTGCACAACCACAACCAGCCAGCCCACGCACCAAGCATTTTACCCTCTCACCATCACCACCACAACCATGATGATCAACAATCAGGCACCACCACCTCACCTGCGGTAGCCTGCTGCTGCAACAAGGAGAAGTGGAAATGGGCTGAAAGAAGAAGAAACGTGCTTTGCCGCTGGTGGGCATGTGCTTTTTCCAGTGTTGCTGACGCCCTCACGCAAGATTCAGCTTATCCACCGCCCGACAGCGACACATAAAAATGCATCAGATCATACAGGGAAAAGTCATCACTCTACTGCTGGAACTGCCTAGATTTGATGCAGTTTTAAAGTGCGCACTTTGATCAAGGAAGGTGCTTTGCGTTCGCTGTGATGGTCACCCGCTCGCACCCTTTGGTGGTGCACGAATTCTTGACTTGTGGGTTGTGGGTTGTTGTGGTTGTTGCTGTCGATGATGAGATGGAGCAGGGGAAGGGAGCATAACACGACAAAACAAACAAAAGCCATGGAAACGAGGTCGGAATGGCAAGGAAGGAAACACAGCACCAAAAGCGCTCTCAAACGGCAGAAAAAACGGATCCACACGATGACAATGACAAAACACACACCTCAACGCAAGCAGTCATCAGAGAGTGAGAAGAACAAAGCCATGTTCAATCACTCCTTGCTCCTTGTTGCTTCACGAGAACGAAGCAGCGGGACAGCAACGACGCTGCACTGCAAAACAGACACAGACACACACACACGCGCGTGCGCATAAATGCACTATCTCTTCGCTTTGTCCTTACACGGGCTGGAGCATCAGCTTGATAAACTCGTCCTGGGAGATGGACGACTTGCCAGCAAACCCAGCCTCCCGCATCATGTTGTCGACCTGCCACAAAAAGCAAAAAGCGTGGGCATTTGTGTGTGTGTGTGTGTGTGTGTGTGTGTGTGTGTGTGTGTGTGTGATGTGTGTGTCAGCGCCGTGCAGAAAGCTGGTTGCTGATGCCGT